GTTGTTCCTCTATAGCTGGTGGTATTCTCCATTGCGCTGTATAATGTATTTTTGCTGGGATTTGTTCCTCTATAACTGGTCAGTGGTAATCTGCATTGCGCAGTATAAATCATTATACAGCGCAATGGAGAATACCACCAGCTATAGAGGACTACAAATCCCAGCAATAATACATTATATACAGCGCAATGCAGAATAACGCCAGCTACAGAGGACTACAAATCCCAGCAATAGTACATTATAGTATAATGTACTATTGCTACATTCCTCTATAGCTGCTGGTATTCTGCACTGCACTATATTGCACACCACACTTTTTTTTTACTTCCACCGCGCCAAGCTTGCTCCCGTGATGGACTACAATCTTAACACAAACTAGTCGTCAATCACTGGAGCCTTTTTTTTTTTATCCGATTAACCGATTAATCGAACTTAATAATCGGCCAACTAATCGATTATGAAAATAATCGTTAGCTGCAGCCCTACTATACATAGCATTGCCCGAATGCTTGCTGTCTGGCCTCCTATGATGCACCGCCACTTTGAGCAATAGGAATGCTTATGAGTTGGAACATGGTGGGCAAGCACAGTCTTTCCCAGGCAGTACCGACACGTTCTTTTGCCTTCATTGCCCTCTGCTTTGCCCAAATGCTAGCTGTCTCTCTTCCTATGATGGGCTGCCACTTTGGGTAATGGGAATGCATGCAAGTAGGAAGAGAGCAGCTAAGAGCCATCCTTTTCTGGGTAGTGCAGGGGGTACCTACACGTATCTTTGCCCGAATGCTTATTGTCTGGCTTCCTATGTTGGGCTTTGACTTTGCCCAATAGAAAAAGAAAATTGAAATCTTGTGTGCCAGTTGCTGCCCTTTTTGAAAGTGATTCTCCAATTAGAAGCATTATTTACTTTGCAAGGAAGCATAATTAGTAGCACCCCCTCATCTAGAGAATGCCCCGTACCTTAGTTGAATGAGGAGATTGTACAACCTTGTGTACTGGATGTCATCCAGAGGGCAGGCCACCTCACTGGCTGGTCATTGGCCTTCATGACTACATGTCCAATGTTGGAACACTGTACTCTCATCAACTGATGACATTAACATTTAAGGGAACAGCCTCTTTGATTTACAACGTCCTCTATATACAATTGCCACTATGAAATATGTGGCACCGCTAGTGCGTGTCTGACTTTGGAAAACACTACTACATATAATAGTGGCCACTAACGTTCTTGACTTCACTAGCCAGTTTTTGGATTTTTTTGAAATTCCAGTTTTTACTTTTTAGCAACTAAGCAATTTTAATGATAAAAAAGCAACCCTCGTTGTGATCTTCACCTCCGCTCTGGCGGTGAGCCTGTGTCCCCCCACAGGCTCACCGCTGTTTAATCCAGCACTGGTCCTCTACTGGGTTGAATGATTCCAGGAGTCATTCAATCTACTTCGTGTGATTGAAGGACATTACGGATTCATCACTTTTTGTTCCAGTGGTGGTCTTCCTGGTTGCCTGACGCCCAGTGTCATGCAACCCACTTCCCCGTGAGTGCAGGGTGTCATGGACGCGCCCCCTGGGAACTGAATGGCGCTGGTGTTATCACATTGGTGATGCTTTCTGCATCATTGAGGACTGCCCAGCCTGGGTGAAGAGATAGAGGAGCATGCGGGTCATGTGACCGGCCAGTACACAAGTAAATAAAGTCAAGTATGAAAGGAACGTATATTAAAAAGCACACGGGGGAGCTTTAGAAGGCGATGGTTGAAATTGGGACCGAGGGCCTAATTTAGATCTCTTGTAGTTTGCAGGGGGGAGAATGGTAGATGGTCCTTCTTATATAAATGATGAAAAAATAGTGTGCCGTGTATGGCGATCAGTCTGATGAGTCAATGAATCCAGAAAACTCTGCTCTGAATTCAGACGCCTTGATACAAGGCCATCCAGTAGCTAGTGATAATATCTCTCTGCTGATCAGTGCAACGTGTGGAGTGAATCATTCGATAGAACTAGGAGCTTGCAGTAAGGGGAGTTTGCACATCTCAGTACAATCCCATTAAAAACAACGGGGAGCCCCGTCGTGATGTAAGAGCATGTCATGCAATGGAATGGATTAAACAAGAGCGTAGCATCGACACCCGACCGCTGCTGACCCATATTGCATCTCCCTCAAGCAAAATGCTTCATTCGCTAGTCACGCACTAAAAGGTGGCCAGGTAGGTCTAATGGAACGTTAATAACCAAGGGGAGGGCCCGCGCGCTCTTTTTCCACCTTTTTTACTGTATTGTTAGCGGGCAGAAAAATATGTACAATGGCTCTCCTTGTTCTTGAAATGAATAACCTACTTAAATCAACCGCCGAGTAACACTTATGTGACCATTCCATTAAATTGCTCTTCCCCTTCTTGTCGCAAGCTGGTGTAATTGTAAGAGAGGCCGCTCTTTAGAAAATGCTGTGTTCCGTGCTAATGGAAGGATAATGTCAACAGAGATTTATGGAAACTCCAGTCGTTTTTAGGTGTGCTCCGTGTACCGCAGAGCGATATATGAATAATATACTGGGGTGCAGCTGGTTTTAGTACATGTAGGTTAGTAAAATGACTATAACACAGCGCACGACTTGCTGGAAGTTTTCTTCAAGTGCTGTTATTAGGAGTGGATTTTTTTCTTTGAGTGCTGTCATCACATAAGTAGAGTTTATTTCACCACTGGGGGGTGCTTTTAACACTTAGTGCATTTTGTTATTTCACCACTGGGGGTGCTGTTATCACATGTGTATAGTTTATCGCACTCCTAGGGGTGCTGTTCTCACTTGAGTAGAGTTTTTCACCACCGGGGGGGTGCTATTATCACACGAATAGAGTTTATTTCACCACTGGGGGTGTTATTTATTACAGGTATTTATATAGCGCCAGCAATTTGCACAGGGCTTTGCATGCTGCACATTCCTATCAGTCCCTGCCCTCAAGGAGCTTAAACTTTAAGGTCCCTATCTCCCATGCATGCAGTAGCCAGTTAACTTTCTAGAATGTCTTTGGAGTGTGGGAGGAAACTGGAGTACCTAGAGGAGACCCACCAAGCACAGGGAGAACATGCATACTTCTTGAAGATAGTGTCCAAAACTGGATATGAACCGGGGACCCCCAGTGCTGCTAACCACTAAGCCACTGCACTGCATCTATTATCACATAAAGAGTTCATTTCACCACCGAGGGTGCTTTTATCACTTGAGTAGGGTTTGGTATTTCACCGTGCTTTACATACGAGTAAGGTTTTCAAAACATCAACATAACTACATAATATTTTTTTGAAAGAATACAATTTTTATTAAGCTTTTCATACAAATATACAAAAGGGCATAGACATACCCAACCCCCATACAATGCAATTTCATCACACAGGGTGGGCATGCTGCCATTGGAGATACGTTGGATAAGGTGACAGAATACCAAGTGAAGAAATATAGACACCGGCACTCCAATAGCAAATAGAATATGTCTATTAAATGATGTACATGCAAAAAGGCATAACGCACTTAGTGCAACGTTTCGGGGTCTTGCAGGATCCCCTTCATCAGGCAGACCAAGTGGCAGCTTAATAATGATAAGGATGACATAACATCCTAGTGGAGAAACGGGTGTTACCATACCAGCATGAAAAGACGAGGACGGGAGGTAGACTAAAGACGTAGGGGAGATGGGGAAGGAAAGGTGTACCTGATCGAAGCTCATTGAAAACCTTATAAAAAGGACTGGAGCCTCGGAGAGGCAGAGAAATCAATCCACTTGCTCCTTGTTGCCCGAATGGTGATGTAGAGATCATATAAACGGGTCGTGAATTCTTCCATAATTAGGTTCACAAACCCATTCCTAGATTGGGGGGCTGATAATGATCTCGAGTGACTGGGAATCGCAGCCCTTTCTGCCGATAAAATGGAGGAGGCCCCACTTAGCCACCGTGGGGGATCAGGGGAAGATGGAGAATAGAGCCAGTTCCGAGGTCTCCGGATATATTGTGCCCTCAATTTGACTGCATAACTGGAAGATGGATCGGCAGTAAGAGCGAAGAAGTCAACAAGACCACCAAATGTAGAGCATAGTCCGTTGTGTGTGTGTCCCTCCCCTCCAAACCGCCAGCACCGATCAGAGAGTGATGGGACCGTTTTGTGTAGGACACAAGGGCATCTATACCATCTAGATAATATCTTAAAATTCCTTTCCTGCGCTTGAATAATTTAATTTATTTATCACAGAATATCTGAAAGAAAACAAGTTTTAGATCAATTTCCCTTTTAAAGTTTTGTGATGGCCAAGTTTAACTTTACACTGCAGTTATGAATTTCATAGTTCATTTGCTTTACGCTCACTTCCAGCATATCAGCACTTGAGAATTTTCTGTATTCTTCATAATTCTGCTTTTCTAGTTCTGCATTAAGCATAAACTGTGTCCTCTGAGGGAATACATTAAAACACGCATATTTCTCTCTCTCCCTCTCTCTCTGTAGTTTATGCAGAAGAGCCTTGACCCAGAAACTAAGAAGCAGCTGGAAGAGGACGAGAAGAAGATAATCAGCGATGAGCATTGGTTCCTGGACCTGCCCGAGCTCAAGGAGAAGGAGTAAGGTTTTTAAAGGAGCACATCTCTATTTATATCTGACTTGGCCCCGTCTCATCAGGATGACGGCAAAAAAGTATTAAATTGTAAAGAAACCTACTTTCTCCTGGCATTTATTGGAGGACAAAAGACTCGATCCTCTACCATGTGGTTATATCTCCCACCTCTAAGAGGTCTGGATACTATGTGCATCAAAAGGGACAACGCTTCATCTAGTGGCTATACCCTTCCACCGGCATAGTTTGGTTGTCCAGAGAAAGGGCGATGAACGCTTCTTGGGTCTTCCTGCTGGAGGCTTCTGCCTCCCCGGTTTGCCAGACTGCTGCCTGATCTTCAGTCCGCACTGTTATCACATTCTGTAATGTGGATACAGCTGTATTGGCATTTGGCAGGTTTGGATGCAAGGTCCTGCAGGAGGTCACACAGCTTTTTTTAAGGGTAGCCTGGGCATGTTTGCCCCTGTTGTTCTATCTGGCCAACTTAATTTTTTGGGACTCCTTTTCGACATCCTACTTGTTGTAGAATAGAGTCCTGTGTCCTCCAATGAGCCTTGGGAGAAAGTTTTGTACTTTCCTTAAAGGCATAGTCCACCTTTTAAAAAAAATGTAAATGTACACACATTATGGTGAAGATGTGCATTTGTTAATGTTTTGCATATGAGCCTGCAGGGCATTTCAACCACAATCCTACAGGCTTTACCCCCTAGCTCCAGGTCTGTTCAGAGGTGCAAACTTTTGGTTATGGGGCTGGAGAAGGTTACCAGTAGGGATTGACCGATACCGGGTTTTCGATATTGAGTAACAGTACCAATATTCCCAATACTCGCCAATACCGGAAGCCAGTCGGCGTGTAATGACTCGCCACCTGGCTTCCTGATTAGCCAGCAACCGTCTCCATGCTTCCTTCGTAACCAGGTGACGAGGAAGCATAAAGCCGGCTTTCTGGCCAATCAGAAAGCCGGGGGGTGGGTAATGACTCGCCATCTGGCTTCCTGACTGGCCAGCTTCTTGACAAATCAGGAAGCCATGCGGTGAGTCATTACAAGGCGTCCGGCTTCCTGGTTGGCCAGGAAGCCGTCTCCATGCTTCCTTCGTGACCAGGGAGCATGAAGCCAGCTTTCTGGCCAATCAGGAAGTCGGGGGGCAGGTAATGACTCGCTGTCCAACTTCCTCATTGGCCATCTTCCTGACCAATCATGAAGCTAGGAGGCGAGTCGAGCTTGGAGATGATGAGGGAGCATGGAGACGGGTTCCCAGCACATCAGGAACCCGGGCATCGTGTAATGACTCGCTGCCCAGCTTCCTGATACCAGAAGTTCCGGTATCGGGCTAGGCATCAGAGCATTTGGTTGAGTATGAGTACTTGCCTAAATACTCGGTATCGGTGCATCCCTAGTTATCAGTGCCCTGCAAGTGCAGTGTGGTGTGTCCGTGTTTCATGTTACACCCATATTTAGGGTGTAACGTAAAACATGGTCTTTGAAGTGACATTAAAGGCATAATTTTTTTTCCCTCCCCCCCCATGTAAATGTTAGCACTTACCTTAAATGATGTCTCTTTTTCCGATCTTCCTCTTCTTTCCGGATGTTTTCATCTGTCCCTCCAGCGGTGTGACGTCACTACGATCCAGCGGTGTCTGCAGGCGGGTGCACGCGTCCATAGACTTACCTTGCGTTTCTGCTCGTCTCCCGGCCGAGAATCGGAACTGCGCATGCGCCCGCCCCAAGATCCTTTGCGGCCGTACGAGCAGTTCCTGATTCTCGGCGCGGGAGCGAGCGGCGATAACGAGGTAAGTTTAAAAATGGTTTTAAACGTTTTTTTTTTTTTTTTACATTTTTTGCTTATATCTCCTGCATGCTAGCAGTCGATATAAGCAAAAAAAACCGTAGGGTTTAGAACCCCTTTAAATCACTATCTCTGGTAGTTTATTCCATCTCTCTCATTGGTGCCCTGTTATGTTGTTGTCCTGTTGCCACAGTTGGTACTTGTGTTATGGAAGTTTGTTTGTCCTCCTTTGCTACTCCTTTCTTATGTTACTAAAAAAAAATAACTTTTTTTTTTTTTTACACTATCTTTATTGCTATCACATAGGAGACTAACAAGCACCCTATGTAATAGCAGATAGGGTGTGACAGATCCTCTTTATGGAGACATCAGGGGTCTTTCAGACCCCTAATGTCACCTAGGGACCCCAAAGAAGCTGAGGAAGTCGAGATCTGCTTCACCAGCTTCTTCTCCTGGCTCTAAGAGCCGGGGAATGTGCCCAGTGACACCGGAAGTGATGCAATACATATCACTTCTGGGTCCAGTGATCGGAGGAGAGATTAGCGGCTGGAAGCCCGCTGATCTCTCTCCGATCGTTGTGGGAAGAACAGCCTTGTGTCGCTCCTGGGCCCTGCTCGAGGGACAGCGGAACCAGGGGAAGCCGGCGGAGGGGGTTTGGGCAGCACATGCCGGTGATGTGTACAAATGATACGCCGGATCGCTTGCACATTAACAGCCATCGCCGGCTGTTTAAAATGACGCCAAGTACACGGTTGCTGCAGCTGCTGTGTTCTTGGTTTAACCACTTCTGCGGGCCGCCGTATATATACGTATTGCAGCCCAGGAGCGGTTAATAGCAGAATAAAGTCAGACTTTAATTGCCAACCTGTATACGATTGACTAAGCTAGATGGTCTTTATTTGCACAGTGGTGGGGGGGTTGTCCTTCCTCTGTGGTCTTTCAGCAGTGTGTGGAATCTGATCTCTCTGCTTTTCAGCAGTTTACTTTGCCACCTTCTGGCTGCAGTTTGTTAAATAAGAAAATATGCAAAAGTAAAAATATATATTTAAGTCCTAAATCTTAATAAACATATGCAAAAACACACAGATTAGTAAAGCGGTATCTTACAGGATACGCCACATAAAGTAGCCCACCGTATAACCACCTAATTCATCGACCTATAACATAAAGAGAAGGCCGAGGGGCGGAACAAAGGACCCCTATTATTACTATAATACAGGATTTATAGAGCGCCAACAGTTTGCCCAGCGCTTTACAATATAAGGAAGACATTACAATCACAATACAATTCAAGACAAGATGGTAAGCAGGGCCCTGCCCCTGAGGGCTTACAATCTATGAATCTAATGAATGCAGCATTGGCCTTCTTGCCTTTCTCCCTAGACTTTTTGCACACTCATTTCCTGACCGCAGTATTTATTGGCTTTGTATTAGAAATGGGTTTTTAAACGCAGAAGGCTGCAACCTATAATAATTGGAAAGCCGTGCGTTCAGCCCTCCACCAGCAGCTTGCTGACATCTCTAATTTACAGTCAGCCTGGCGAGCAGAAGGCAAGAGCGTTGCTCTCCCCTTCTCTTTATTATTATAGATCTCGAAGCCAGAAATTGGGATTCTTAAATACTTTCTTCCATTGATCTCCGATTTCAGCAGCTAGTGTTTAAAGGTGAAGAGTCACCGGGATATTAACTGCCACTTAAACGTCTGGTGAGATGACAGCCGGCTCTCCGTGTTGGGTTGTTTTTTCTTTTTTTTAATGTAATCGATTTACTATCCACTTTTAGAATTGGCTCATTTCATTGTTTCAGTTAGATGTATTTTTCATACTAGAACATGATTTTGATACAGCGGAATGGAGGTGCCATGGCTTCCTGATTGCCTAACACCCTTGCCCTGAGATGACTGGTGGTATGATCGTGCTTAAGGGACACTGAACTCAGCAGTTAAATCTGAAAAATACATTCAAGTACTTTTATCTATCAACAGAAATGTATCTTATTTGTGCATCACTCGGCTGTAGATCCTCAAATCATCTCTGAATTGGTGCTGACACTGTCCTTCCTTCTGGAGGGGGGGGGCTACTTTTGTTCCCCATGGTCCCTGTGTGTGGGTGTTGTAAAGTAGTCACTGCTCCAAGATAGAGCTGCAGCTAATGATTATTTTCAAAATCGATTAGTTAGCCGATTATTAAGTTCGATTAATTGGTTAATCGGATAGAAAATAAAATACATTTTTAAAAATGGCTCAGGTGATGGGACTACTAGTTTGTATTAAGATTGCAGTCCATCACAGGAGCAAGCTTGGAGCGGTGGAAGTAAAAAAGAAAAAAAACAAAGTGTGGTGTGCAATATAGTGAAATGAAAAGTGTAAAATTATATAGCAATGAATGCAGAATGGCACCGGCTATAGAGGACTACAAAACCCAGCAATAGTACATTATACAGCGCAATGCAGAATACCACCAGCTATAATGTACTATTGCTGGGATTTGTTGTATTCCTCTATAGCTGGCGGTATTCTGCATTGCGCTGTATAATGTACTATTGCTGGGTGTTGTAGTCCTCTAAAGCTGGTGGAATTCCGCATTGCGCTCTATAATGTACTATTGTTGGGTTTTGTAGTCCTCTATACAGCGCAATGCAGAATATCACCAGCTATATAGGAATACAACAAATCCCAGCAATACATTATACATACAGTGTATAATGTATTGCTGGGATTTGTAGTCCTCTATAGCTGATGGTACATTGCTCTGTATAATATACTGCACAATTGACCAACTATAGAGGAATACAAATCCCACTATCCCAGCCATAGATGATAGAGTACCATGTGGGGAAAGTGTAGGCTTACCTGAGCAGTCTTCCAGCAACCAGTTTTTGAGATGGGGCCTGTCTATCAGCGGCTGTCATCCCCCCACACCTGCTCCTCCTTACTTCTTCTCCCTGCGTCCCTGTGCCGCCCGTGGATTTGGGCGGGCAGTGAGCGTGAGGCAGGGAGGAGGTGTGGCGTGTGGAGCATGGATGCGGGCGGGTCTGAGGTGGGGAGGAGGTGTGGCGCGCAGCGTGTGTGGAGCCGTGAACAGGGGCAACCAATCGGAAGCCGATTAATCGATGATTGAAATAGTTGACAACTTTTTCAATAATCGATTATAATCGATTGTCGATTAGTTGTTGCAGCCCTACTCCAAGATCACTCTTGTGATGGACTACAGTCTCATGTTTAGTTTACTCATTTGTATTGAGATTGTAGTAAATATCACCCTTACTGTCCCCTCCGCTCCTCCCAAGACCTTCTGCTTTCCAGCTTCCCTTGTCATCTCCCATACTCGCCTCCAGGACTTCTCTAGAGTCTCTCCCATCCTCTGGAACTCTTTACCCCCAAACTGTCCGACTATCTCCCACCTTAACTGCCTTCATGCGATCCCTTAAGACTCATCTCTTCAGGGAAGCCTATCCCACCTCAACCTAACCGCTGAACTATCACTTTTTCTCAAACAATTCATCCCCACACATCTACCTCCTCATGTATCACTGGCCCCTCCCTTTTAGATTGTAAGCCCTCACGGGTAGGGCATTCCTTACATCTTGTCTTGAATTGTATTGTAACTGTTGGCGCTATATAAATCCTGTATAATAATAGTCTATCATGGGAGAGAGGAGGGGACGTTCACCCAGCGGGATAAGGTATGCCCCCAGGTCCCCTCCTTTCTCATGCAACTGTTGGGCTTTTGGTCCATGACCAAGTGCCCAACTTTTCCAAGGGGGTGACACCAATATGACAGACATTTTGGTGTCACCCAGTGCAGGTCGCACCCCTCTAGTGACACCACTGGGAGGGGGGCCTTTGCAGAGACACTGTCACTTTGCCCTATATAACCAAGGTGCTGTCTCTTTAACTTGTATTTCTATCCATCCAGTCCAGAGACTCTCATCGCCCCATCACACACAGCCACGTGGATGACACATCTTTCTTGCAACTAAGGAATAGGGTGAGCTCATCCCACCAACCAGCCTGTTGACTGGACAGTGAAAGAGCAGCAGCAGACTGATGAGATCATCACCCTTTTCTCTACTCCTGTCTGCATGTTTCTTGTTAGCACAATTGCACTCTTACACATGATAAAAAAAAGACACATGCCCAAGGAGTTCAACTCTCCCCCCTTCAGTCTGAGTGTTAGTCTCTAAGGCAGTGGTTCTCAACCTTTCTAGGGCCGGGACCCCTTGGTAACATTTGCCAAGTTGTGGTGACCCCCAACGGCAAAATTTAGGGATGAAGCGGGTGCTGCAGCGACATCTGGCGGCGTGGCGGGAGAACTGACACTGCTGCGCTAGGAGAGAGCTGAGGAGGACTCTCACCTTGCACAGCGAACCCACAGCTTGAGAACCACTGCTATAGGCAAAGACCGGACCGGGCTCTGCAGCTGGAACTAGAAGAATTGGATTTAAAGTGTGTGGCTATATAACGTATGAGGTACATACTCCGCAGTACTGTCACTGATAGGGATGGGCTCGTGCGTGTTCGCAGCTCCACGTGCCGAACTTCAGGTCCCCCTCTGCTGATTGGCAGCATCAGAGGGCGGTTGCAATAGCTAGTTTTCTATTTGCTTTTGCAAAGTGATATAGCCAATAGGAATCTAGCTATGCATTCCTATGGTGTTTTTTTTTTTTTTCTGACTAGGCGACCCCTGGCAAATCGTCATTCGACCCCCCAGGGGGTCCCGAGCCACAGGTTGAGAACCACTGCTCTAAGGGGTCACAAGAGGTTGATACATTTAATTTGTGTCTTTCGTGAACAGTTGACTATAGGTGTACTGTTAGAGCCAGATGAGTCACAGCAGTCTTTATTAGGAAGACTTGCACAGCTGTATTTCCTGCATGCGTATTATCTGCATGCGTATTAAAAGGACCCTTTTTTAGAATGTTCTATTGATAGCCGTTGACTTTAGCCAGTTTGTATGCACTGACACCGGTGTACCCTTTCAGGCAAAGGAAGAAAGGGATTTTTGCTTTTCATAATATATAAAGCATCTGTAAAGGAACATTTTTCTTTTTCCATTTTCAAAATGTTAGCACTGCATACTTGGCTAATATATGTAAACATTTATAACACGTCCTCATGAATAGAGGTATTCTAAATCCTCTTCCTTTATGTCTAAGGGGGGGGG